GACCTCAAAGGGCTACCCCCTAAGGAGAAATGTGACTTTCAGGCCAGTTTTGCAGCTCAGATTTGGATCACATGATTTGCTCTGAAAACCTTGAGTCTTGAATAAGATGGAAAAGCAAATCAGCAGGATCAGCTGACAAAAAGACTGATAAACATATGTTTACCACGGATAAAGAAATAAATAACAAACTTGAAGATATTTTCAAGCAAGGCTGGGTGAGGTGCCTTATGCCTATAATCCTAGCAGTCTGGGAGGCCCAGGTGGGAGGACTGCTTGACCTCAGGAGTTCAAGACCAGCCTGAGCAAGAGTGAGATCCCATCTCTACCAAAAAGACAAGGAAAAAAAAAAAGCAGTCAGGTGTTGCAGTGTACAACTGTAGTCCCACCTACCAGGAAGGCTGAGGTAGGAGGATTGCTTTAGAGCCCCGCAGTTGGAGGTTGCAGCAACAATGGTGCCAGTACACTCTACCCAGGGCAGCGAATGAGACTCTCTCTCAACAAAAACAAGGCAACTGAGCACCCCTCTTCAGAACCCCCACCCCTTCATTTTAAAACTAGAAAAGAAAAAAAAGATACTTCCAAGCAAAAGGAAACTATAACAAATGATAGACTATAATTGAACCTAATCCAACTTTTAGAAAAAATACAGTATACCAAATTAAAAACTCAAGGGATAGCTTTAATCAGCAGATTAAGAAGAGAATCCATGAAAATTTAAAAGACAGGTGAGACAAAATTATCAGAGTTTGGCAAGAAGAGACAAAAAGGTGGAAAGTATAGAAAAGAGGGTAAGAGAGTCAAATTGCTCTCATTCAACAAATGGGTGTCAGGGCCTTGTAAAAGTGACCATGCTGAATCTTCACAACTACTTTACAAGGTACAACATATAGAATCTCACTGGTAATAAAAAAAATCCTTTTTAGCCCCTTTCTCCATTCTGCCAGCATAAATGGGCCACAGATATGCTTTTTCTTTAAAACTAGCTAAGAAATTTCAGAGCCTAGCTTTATAAATGCAAAGCTTCACGATTAATGGAAGGAAATTCTGAAAGATATGAAGGCTCTTACCCTCTTCCCTGTAGCTGTGGGAGGGGTGGAAACCATTTTGCTTCACAATTATTTCAAATGATATGAATTTAAAAGGTGTTAAATTGAGAATTTTAATAAGAATGTCAACCCTAGCCGGGCGCGGTGGCTCACGCCTGTAATCCTAGCACTCTGGGAGGCTGAGGCGGGCGGATTGCTTGAGGTCAGGAGTTCGAAACCAGCCTGAGCAAGAGCGAGACTACTATAAATAGAAAGAAATTAATTGGCCAACTAATATATATATAAAATTAGCCGGGCATGGTGGCGCATGCCTGTAGTCCCAGCTACTCGGGAGGCTGAGGCAGCAGGATTGCTTGAGCCCAGGAGTTTGAGGTTGCTGTGAGCTAGGCTGACGCCACGGCACTCACTCTAGCCTGGGCAACAAGCGAGACTCTGTCTCAAAAAAAAAAAAAAAAAAAAGAATGTCAACCTTGTTGTCCTTTGAAATAGGCAGACTTGTAAATATTCATAACTGTTGCCAACTAGTTCTATTCTCTTGTTAATACAAATCTTTCCTTCGGAAAGTATTGTTTAAAGCTATTGTATAAGAAACTCACAACTATAGAAAGTGAGGCCTTGTTCAATGAAAATAATTTACAAAAGAAATGTGTAATTCTAATTTGGTATTGTGAACTAAAATAAAATTTTAAGGGTTCCCCTCACTGGCTGACTAAATGGACCCCTCTTGGCCAAGGGGATAGATATCCCAAAACTATATAGCCTGCAAGGAGGAGGGAGGTCAGACATGTCTCATCATGCCCCCCCCACTTCTTGGAGACATCCTTTGTAACCCATTAACAGGCCTAAGAGTATGTAAGACACACCTGCAAGTCCTCAATTTACACAACAAATATATGTCCTGTGGCTTGTCTCTTATCTTAAAACATTCCAAGCCTTTAGACAAAGCTTCATGTCTTTAACCAATTACAAGTCAAAGAATCTTTAAACCCACCCATAACCTGTAAGCACCCCCCTTTTGAGATGACCCACCTTTTTGGGCCAAACCAATGTATGCCTCCCACGTATTGATTTATGACTTTACCTGTAATTCCTGTCTCCCTGAAATGTATAAAACCAAACTGTAACCCAGCCACAGCGAGTCCACTTGCTCAAGGTTTCTTGGGCGTGGCTATAGGTCATGGTCTTCAAATTTGGCTGAGAATAAGTGTCTTTAAAATTATTTTACAGAGTTTGGCTGCTTTTCCATTAACAGTATCTTACTTGGTAATCCATTAACTTGGTGTAGTAGACAGAAAAGCTCTCTCGAGATTCCAAATCCTAATCCCTGTGAATGTTATCCTACGTGGCAAATGGGACTTATTACCAAGTTTCATTTTAGCATTTCACAAATGCCTGGCTGTGGTGAAATCACCACTCTGTAGGCCCTTTTATTAAGTTCTGTTGGAATTTCCAAGGATAATTTCCTTTCATTGGTAAGTTCAAAAGCACTTATATTTATATATCCAGTACAGCTAATTAGAGCATGGGGCCTCTGAGATGCTTAAGTAAAATTGTTTCAGAAAAGAAATCCTACTTCATTTTATATAGAAAGATAGCAAATTCTGGAGGCATAAGGACTAAAAGGGAAAAATTAAATTATTCACAAATTACATAAACTAAAACCTTTTTATCACCTTTGTGATAATTGATTTAGCTATATAGTTATGATTCTTACATTTTAAGTATGTTTTATATAAAACTTATATAAAACACCAACAAAATGTATAAACAAACAATTGGACCCACAGAGAGAGGTCAGCAAGGTGAATGGATCTAAAAACAATACACCAGAATCAAGCATTCCCACACACCAGCCACAATCAGTAACAAAATGTAATTTAAAAATATTTATGAGAGCAACAGGCACACAGAAATATGTCTAGCAAAATATGCATGACACATTACAGAAAAATTTATAAGACTTTTGTCAAAAACATTAAAAATACCTAGATAAAAGGAGAAATGAACCACCTTCATTTTTCTAAAGATGCCATTTCTGTCTCTAAAGTCATCTATAAATAAGATACAGTTCTAATCAAATCTCAATGTTTCTAACAGGCATTAAGATTTAACATAAACTAATCTTAAAATTCATATGGAAATAACATAATTTTGAGGAAAAGGAATAAGAAAGGGGACTTTCCCTACCAAATATTAAAATGCATTATAAAGCTATAGAAATATAAAAGACAAACAAACCAGTGGAACAAAATAGAAAGCCTAGAAGCAGACACATACTTATACTGGACCTTGGTATATAACTGAGATAGCATTATCAATCTTGTGAAGAATAGAACACTTAATAGTCTTGGAAAAACTGATTAGCCATTCAGAAAAACATTAAGTAAATTCTCTACATTGTGTCATGTACAAAAATAAATTCTGAGCAGATCACAGAACTAAATGTGAAAAAACTGTAAAAATTTCATAAGAGAATACATAAGAGTATCTTTATGACATCATGGTAAGAAAGAATTCCTTAAACAAGATGAAAAAACAAAAAAGGCACAACAGCGTGAAGGAGAAGGATGGTAAATTTGATGACATCAAAATATAAGCCTCCTGTGCAGGAAAGGATTAACTCAAAAAGCCTGGGATGCTCAAACCCTGCAAATTCCCAGGAAAGTCCTATCTAAGGGACTGGCCCTTGCCCAGCTCTTGGGAGATGACCCTTAGATTATTCTGCCTGAGATTGTTTTAATATGCCTGAGGCCATGTGGTACCAGTAAGATCACACAGTTTATGCTTAAATTGTAAGTTGTGGTGAATGGCTGCTTTTGCTCTTGATAGGTGAGGGGGAGGCTATAGTCTGAATAGCTGAGGTCAGTCATGCAGGTACTGTTAGGCAGAGATGAGGGTATGCAGGTGGCAGGGCAGGTGGTTAAACCACACCTGATAGTGCTGCATGCTTAGGTGACTCTTTCCCAATAAAAAACCCTGGACACCAAGCTTCCCTGGTTGACAATACTTCGCATGTGCTGTCACACATCTTAAACTGTAACCATAACTATAACAGCTTTTGTAAGTCCTGTGAGTCCTTCTAGCAAATCATCAAGCCTGAGGGTGATCTGACAAAACAAACCTCCATATGAAAAAATACACAATAAACAGAGGGAAAAGGCAAGTCACTGACTAGAAGATATTACAAACTGTAATACCAACATAAATATCCAGAGTATATAATTATATAAACACAAGTCCTACAAAGGTCTATGAGAAAGACCCAACACTACAATAGGAAGAGGATACAACGTGGCAAATCACAGAAGAGGAAAATAATGAAGGGCCAGTCAATATACTGAAAAGATGTAAAATCCCCCGAGTTATCTGAGACGTTAAAAGTGGATACCATTTCGCACCCATAAGATTGACAAAAATTTAAAAGTCTAACAATACAAAGTGTTGAAGATATAGGGAGATAGAAATTTTCCTTTAATACTGGTGAGAATTACAGTGTCACAGCCACAACTTTTCAGTATCTAAACTGAAGATGTATATAACTTATTATCCAGTAATTCACCTTCTAGATATCTATTCTAGAGAAAATCTTGTACATATGTGCAAGGAAATTTGTACAAGGATGCTCACTTCAGCAAAGTAACATTGAAAAAACTGGTAACAAGCTAAATGTTCGTATTTGGTATATGACATATGAGAACAAAAATAAAATATTTTATAACCACAAAATGGTTATAAAAACATAGTGATGAGTAAGGAGTAAAATAATATGTACAGTATGACAGCATTTATATAAATTTTAAAAATGTAGAACACAATACTATATATATTTTAAGGGTATGCGTCCAAAAACATGACCCAAAAGGATGCATATCGATTTCAAAATAGTGGTTACTTTTACAGAGGAAAAAAGGGAAATGGGATGAGAGTGAGCTTAAGCTGTATTTGTAACATTTTTTTTTTCTTTTTAACAAGGGATCTAAAAAAAAGTGTGATAAAATATTAACTTTTTTTGTCTGGCGGCGGTGGCGGCAGCATGGCGGCGGGGCGGCCGAGGCGGCAGCGGCGGCAGTGGTCGAGGTCGGCTCGGCCGGGCAGTTTGAGGAGCTGCTGTGCCTCAAAGCCAAGTCCCTACTTGTGATCCATTTCTGGGCACCATGGTCTCCCCAGTGCACGCAGATGAACAACGTAATGGCGGAACTGGCTAAAGAACACCTTCAAGTTTCATTTGTGAAGTTGGAAGCTGAAGCTGTTCCTGAAGTATCTGAAAAATATGAAATTAGTTCTGTTCCTACCTTTCTGTTTTTCAAGAATTCTCAGAAAATCGACCGATTAGATGGTGCGCATGCCCCAGAGTTGACCAAAAAAGTTCAGCGACATGCATCTAGCAGCGCTTCCTTCCCACCCAGCGCTAATGAGCATCTTAAAGATCTCAACCTTCGCCTGAAGAAGTTAACTCATGCTGCCCCCTGCATGCTGTTCATGAAAGGAACTCCTCAAGAACCACGATGTGGTTTCAGCAGGCAGATGGTGGAGATTCTTCACACACATAATATTCAATTTAGCAGTTTTGACATCTTCTCAGATGAAGAGGTTTGACAGGGACTCAAAACCTATTCCAATTGGCCTACCTATCCTCAGTTGTATGTTTCTGGAGAGCTCATAGGAGAACTTGATATAATGAAGGAGCTAGAAGCATCCCAAGAACTAGAGACAGTTTGCCCCAAAGCTCCCAAATTAGAGGAAAGGCTCAAAGTGCTGACAAATAAAGCTTCTGTGATGCTCTTTATGAAAGGAAACAAACAGGAAGCAAAATGTGGATTCAGCAGACAAATTCTGGAAATACTAAATACTACTGGTGTTGAATACGAAACATTTGATATATTGGAGGACGAAGAAGTTCGGCAAGGATTAAAAACTTACTCAAATTGGCCGACGTACCCCCAGCTGTATGTGAAAGGGGAGCTTGTTGGAGGACTGGATATTGTTAAGGAATTGAAAGAAAATGGTGAATTGCTGCCTATACTGAGAGGAGAAAATTAAACTTGGTGCCCAACTATTGCAAGAAGTAATTATAGTGGGAGAAGTTCATGATTTAGTCCTCAGAAATGGACTAGGAATAGAAAAGTGCTTCCTTCTGACCAGGTTACACCTTCTGTTTTTCACAAGGTTGTGCTAAATAAATAAATGTATGTTACATTTTTTTCCCCACCAAAAATAGAATGCAATAAACATCTTCGAATTATTAACAATAAAAAAATATTAACTTTTATTCTGTCTTGACAGTGGGTCCCTCTTATTTTCTGATAGTTTTTTATAGGTTTGATATATTTGGTAATTAAAATTTTAGACACAGATGTATTAGTTTTAAGAAGCTATAATCACTTCCTGTCATTGCTGTAACAAATTTAGTGGCTTAAAACAATACAAACTTATTTTCTTACAGTTGTGGAGGTCAGAAATTCAAAATCAGTTTCACTGGGCCAAAATTAAGGCATCAATAGGGATCTTTACTTCTGGAGGCTTTAGGGGAGACTCCACTTCCTTGCAGTTTCTAGCTTTTAGGGGCCATGGGTTCGTGGCTTTATCCTCCATGTTCAAAGAAAGCAGTGTAGCATCTTTTCTTCTCTCTGATCTCTGCTTCCAACCTTGTATCTTCCTTTGCTGATTCTCAATCTCCTGCCTCCCTCTTATATGGCACTTTGTGATTACACTGGGTAATCCAAGATAATCTCCCCACCTCAACACCTATCTTTAATTTAATCACATCTGCAGTCTCTTTTCACCTTGTAAGGCCATATATTCACAACTTTCAGGGATTAAGATGTGGACATCTTTTGGGGCCCTTATCAAGCCTACAACAGTCCACCCTTTGGCCCCTAAAGATTCACATTGGTTCCGCATACAAAATACATTCATTTCACTCCCAAATCCAAAAAAGTCTCAATCCATTAAATCATCAATTCAAGTCCCAAATCTCATGTGAGTCTCATCAGATCAAAAGTCTCAAGTCTCATCATATAAATCATCTAAATTAGGTATGGATGAGGCTGTGGGTATAATCCATCCTGGGGAGAAATTCTTTTCTATCTGTGGAACTGTGAAACTAGAAAACAAATTATCTGCTTCTAAAATACAATGGTGGGACAGGTATAGGATAATAATAGTTAAAGGTATTCCCATTTAAAAAGGGAGAAAATGATAGAGAAAAAAAGAAGTCACTAGTCGCAAGCAATTTTAAAATCTAACCAGGCATATTCTATTAGGTTTGAAGCCCTGGAAATAGTTATCTGAGGCCCACAGGTCTACCCTCTGGACCAAGGCCCATTCTACCTTCAGAGTCAGTATTCTTTTATATGAAAAGTAGCATGTGTTTGCAGCTGAATATTTTTATCAGCCTATCTCCTGCCTGTAGAATTTTGGAAGTCTAAAAGCTTTCTTTCATTCCATCCTCTCTCTGACCCTTTCAGTCCAAGCTGGTAGTGTTTCTGCTGGTATAACCGTCTAAAAAAACCTTTTGGGTCGCCTGTGTATATCTTGGCAACTCACTTCATCAGAGAAGGGGCCTTCCATAGATCTTTCCTGGAAAATCCTATTTTTGTTCCTGGCTTTTGCAGAGATACCTGATTTATGAGACACATGCCTAATCTCTCCACAAAGCCCTCTGTGTGATTTAGTACTCTGACCTTTTGATCCTTTCAAAGCAGTAGCAAATGGTTTTCCAGCCACACCTTTGGCTTTCTCTCCAGAGTACATTTTCCTGACAGTGAATCTGCTAACTTTAACACCTCTCATAATCTGGATAGGCTGAGAATTCCCCAATCTAGTCCTAGTTCATTTTTGCTTAACAGTTCTTCCTTCTATTTTTCTCATTCTTGTCATATTTTACTAAGAGCATCAAAAAGAAACCTACCATATCTTTAACACGTTACTTGGAAATCTCAACTAAATATCCAAGCTTATTGCTTACAGTTTTTGCTTCCCACAAAACTGTAAGCCACATTCAGCTAAACTGTCTGCCACTATATAACAAGTATCTTCTTTTCTCCAGTTTTCAATGACATGTTCCTCATTTCCTTATAAGCTCTCACCAGCAATGCCTTAGTGTCCACATATTTGCCTTCACAGGCAGCTCCTTCAACATTCATATTTTTACCAAGATGATATAGATTTTCTTTAAGATGATACAGATTTTCTACCATGCTCCTCACTTCCTTCTGAGCCCTCACTGTCAGTCTTTAACATCTATATTTCTACTAATGGCATATTCAAAGCAATCTAGGCCTTTTCTATCATGCTTCTCAAAATTCTTCCATCCTCAACCATTACCCTATTCCAAAGCAAATTCCACATTTTTTTAAAAAAAGCCAGTCAAATTTAGCAGTGGAGGGGTTGAATACCAACTTTAGTGACACTAATGTTAATAAGTTCTGATAACCCACTTCCATCGGACCAGCCAACATTTTTAGGTACTCAAGTTATAGCAGCACTCTACTTCCAGGTACCAAAATCTATATTAAGTTTTTATTCCTGGTGTAACAAAGTACCATAAACTTTGTAGATAAAACAACAAGAATTTATTATCTTATTATTCTGGAGGTAAGAAGTCTAAAAACCCGTTTCCCTGATCTAAAATGAAGGTGTTAGCAAGGCTCATGTCTTATGGAGGCTCTAGGAGAGAAGCTATTTCCTTGTCTTTTCCATCTTCTAGAGGCTATTATGTTCCTTGGCTTATGGTCCCTTCTTTCATCTTCAAAGCCAGAACAGCATCTTCTCTCTTCTCTGACTTCTGTGTCAGTCTCACATCTCTCTATAACTCTGATTCTCTTGCCTCCATCTCATAAGGATCCTTGTATTACATTGGGCCCACCCTAATAACCCAGGACAATTTCCTCATCTCACAAGCCTTAATCACATCTGCAAGTCCCCTATAACATGTAAGTTGATATATTAAGTTCTGGGAATTAGAATGTGGATATCTTTAGGGGGGCATTATTCAGCCAACCACAGAAACAATTTGGGAACCTGGAAAGAGGCAGAGTCAGAAACTACATCCTGGCTCGTGACTAAGAGAGGAGCAGTGGTTAATGTATTCAACTGACAACAAACATTGGCAACAAAGCCTTCCAAGAAAATAAAACCCCTAAAAAAGATTTATAAAAACTCTTTATATGGCCAGAAGTTATTGCTTCAAGCTTGTTTAATAATGTGGCATCTAATATTGTTGGCACATTAAAAGAACTTCAAAACATACTCAAGATACAAAATCCTGTACAAAGAAAAAGAAGTGATATCTTTAAAGTGTCTACTGCTATATAAGCTTGTGATATTCTGACCCCATCTGGTAGGAATACCAATGACATTTTTGGGCCTTCAGTCAGTGCTTTTTCACCCTTGGCACACCTAACCAGAACCTGAGATTATATCATTTTATATAAAGAAGACATACAACTGGAATTTAAAGCCATAGCAAGTATGCTACACACAGGAGAAGAGTAAGGTGAGAAAGAAGATATGAGAAAGTAGAACAAACCAAACCACACAAACAATAAAGTCCCCAAATCACCATATTGAAAATAAAGCTTTTCTTTTTTTTTTTTTTTTCTGTGACAGAGTCTCGCTTTGTTGCCCAGGCTAGAGTGAGTGCCGTGGCATCAGCCTAGCTCACAGCAACCTCAAACTCCTGGGCTCAAGCAATCCTGCTGCCTCAGCCTCCTGAGTAGCTGGGACTACAGGCATGCGCCACCACACCCGGCTAATTTTTTTTTCTATATCTATTAGTTGGCCAATTAATTTCTTTCTATTTATAGTAGAGACGGGGTCTCGCTCTTGTTCAGGCTGGTTTCGAACTCCTGACCTCGAGCAATCCGCCCGCCTCGGCCTCCCAGAGTGCTAGGATTACAGGCGTGAGCCATCGCGCCTGGCCTAAAGCTTTTATTACAACTAAAAAGTGACTCTCTCACCAATAGACTAGAAACTCTTCCATTAATGTATCACATACTATAATGTTAATCTAAATACTTTTCAAATATGTTATGAAACTAACAGAATCATAAGTTTTTGGTTTTTTTTTTGAGGCAGAGTCTCACTCTGCTGCCCCAGCTAGAGTACCGCGGCGTCTGCCTAGCTCACAGCAAACTCAAACTCCTGGGCTCAAGCAATCCTTCTTGAGGCATGTGCCACTATGCCCAGCTAATTTTCTATGTATTTTTAGTTGGCCAATTAATTTCTTTGTATTTTTTTTTAGTAGAGACGGGGTCTTGCTCTTGCTCAGGCTGGTTTCCAACTCCTGACCTTGAGCGATCCACCTGCCTCGGCCTCCCAGAGTGCTAGGATTACAGGCGTGAGCCACCGTGCCCAGCCAGAATCATAAGTTTTTATTTGCTCCCTGGACCACACTTTGAGAACCTTTGACTTGCAGGATTCCATTTGTTGAAATAAAAATTTGAAGGACAGATTTATATTAACCAAGAAGAGAACAGGTTGGTAACAGTTCTATATATCCATACAAATGTCCATGTAGCAAAAGAAAACAAGATAAAAATCCTTGTGTACATACTGATTTTTACATCAAATAAGATTCCTTAAAGCCAGGCACAGTGGCTCATGCCTGTAATCCTAGCACTTTGGGAGGCTGAGGTGGGAGGGTCACTTGTGCTCAGGAGAAGTACAAGATGAACGTGAACAAGAGCGAGACCTTATCTCTACTAAAAATTAAAAAAATTAACCAGGTGTCATGGTGTGCACCTATAGTCCCAGCTACTCAGGAGGCCGAAGCAGGAGGATCAATTGCACCCAGGAGTTTGAGGTTGCAGTGAGCTGTGATGAGGTCACTGTACTTCTAGCCCAGGCAACAGAGTAAGACTCTGTATCAAAAAAAAAAAAAAAAAAAAAAAAAAAAAAAGGTTATTTGAATTAGTTTTATAAGACAAAATGGTATGTGTCCCTTTAGGCATGGGAACTTGCTTTGCCAATTATGAACACTTGAATTTTTAAGGCTAGGTTCTAGAATTTTATTAGGCAAGATTGTAGGAAAAAAGTAAGCTTGCAGAACACAGTTCTTTTTCTGGCAGAAATGGAGGAAGGTTGAATTTTATTTAATAATAGAGAAATAAGGAGCATATAGAATTTTTTATAAAACAGTTCTCTTTCAGAAACAACAAAAGAATAAGTATAGAACAGGAAGGGAAAGGTTTGTCATGGATCTAAAGCTGTTTATGCAGTCAACTGTTCAAAGGTTTCTGCCTGGATCAGGTTTCT